GGGTAGGGGTGCTGCGTGCGGCTGTGGGGGCAGGCCTGGCCAGCAAGCACAGCAGGACCCAGTGCTGGGGGAACGCGCAGCAGTCAATGTGAGTTACGTAAAGCCGGGCTGCGGCTCAGGGCAGGGTGTCTATACATGGCAAGGCTGCTGTTATTTCGGGCCCTGCTGCTGGAGTGACAGGGAACTGCAATCAGCTGGCAGGCTCTGCTGAGGTCAGAATGACATCAAAGCAGCCCCAGGCTGTCAGCTGGAATCCGGCAATCCAAGCTGATGAGGCATCCAGCCTTAAAGGGGTCCCAGCAGCAGGCAGAGGGGAAATGTGGACCCCACAGAGCTGACCTGGGACAGGTGAGTTCACTTCCAGAGAAGGCTCTGTGCAGGTGTGACTCAGGAGAACTGCTCCTCTGCAGGCCTGGGCAGAGAGGCCAGGGAAGGGCTCCAGTCCCCGAGTAGGTAGTTTGAGGAGTGATTATTTTAACAAACGAGTGTCCCACTCTGTCCACCAGACCTAATCCCAGCTCAGATTGCTGCCGGTTAAGCCCTGTAATGAGATTGGGAGGCAAGTCCTAAGAGTCACCTCCTGCCCTGTCCCTCCACTTGCCTGCATTCCCCGTGCCACCACCCTTCAGGTACCAGAGCAGACTTTGCTTCTTCCCCTCTTGGCTGAGCAGAGTGTGACTCTAACCCCGAAAGTCAGAGCAGGAGGTCAGAGGAGCCCTCACTTCCCACGGACACAGCACTGGTCACTCTGGAGCCTGCATCCTGTCCAGGGCATCGCCCTGAAGTGCCGATCCCGAGCAGCTGCACTGAGAACACTGAGCTGGTCTGGAAGCCCTCCTGCTGTGTCACCCATGGAGTGTGCCCCAGCGTGCACCATGCTGCCCGGGTGTACGACTCCCGGGGCTGGCCACACACGGTTGCCACCTGTCTTGGCATCCACACTGCCCAGCATGGTCCCTTCTGGCCAGAGAATCTGTGAGCATGGAGAGGGCTACAGGTGGAGTCACAAACATGGGACTTTCGAAGGAAAGTTGAATGGGCAGCTGCCAAGAGATGGAAATTCTCCAGCCAGGAAACGCAGACAGAACTAGGCCGGCAGTTCAGCTCGGAGCAAAGAGACTCTGGGTCTGGGGGTAATGGCTGCACGGGGAGTTGGGGGGGTGATCCACAGTTCGGGGAGACCTATCCATGCAAGCTGGCATCAAGCTAGTGCACTAACTGTAGATGCGGTGGGGGGGAGGGGCCAGCTGTCCGGTCTGAGACACTAAGCACAGCTCAAGACAGCTAGGCCCTCCTGCTGTTGGCCCTGCCACAGTTACTGTCTATTTCTATTTGCCGCTCCGTGATCAATAGCATGAGTGTGATGGGGTGTCACCCCACCCGAGCCCTGATTAAGGTGGCCAGGTGGGCCAATTAACGCCCTAGGCAGCATCTGGAGGAGAAGCCAGGGAGCAATGAGGACTAATGAAAGGATGAAGCTCACCTGGGCAGGAACAAGGTGTACCTGGAGGTGGGGAAGGAGCCTGACGGAGGCAGTGTAGGAAGCAGTCCAGGAAAACAGCAGCAAGGTGTGGGTTCCCCTGCCAGACACTGGGGAAATGGCACCACTGAGGGGCAGTGAATTGGAAGGCTGTCCGGGACAGTTAGTACAGAGACACTTGGTACATAGCTCCCTCCCCACAAAGGGAAAAGTACAGTAACCTGGCCAGAGGGCCAAGCCACAACGAGGGAGCTGTCAAGTCCTGAGATAGAGTGAGTTCCCGCAGGAAGGGCGTCAGACTGGCTGAGCGAATCCCCAGGTGCGGCTACAAGGAGGCACCCAGTGGCGAGTACAGCACACTGGGACAATGTGTGTCTCTCCTTGCACTGGAAATCACACCACCAGCTCCAAGTGCAGATGTACCCCCTTGAACACACCGCATCCTAGTTAGAACCTGCAAGGAACAAATCTGAGATAAATGCTGGACTAGGCCTCTGTGAGGGGACTGGGGAAATCAAAGCACATGAGCAGAGTCCCTCTGTCATAGCAGGGGTCACTCTGTCCCCCCTGAGCAGAGAGCTGTCCTGCTAAAGAGTCTCTCTCTCAGCTCTCTACTTGCTCACCTGCCGGAGAGATCCAGGCACCCTCCAGGAGGGTGTTCTAAGAGCTACAGACTGAGCAAAGTGGGAACTGGCTCAGTCTCCAGTTGGCAACTTCATCAGTGTTACTGCCCAAGTCACAAACCTTAGACCTGGGCTGGTCTGACACGAAATGTCCTCAGAGTTGGACCCATTGTTCCAGTTCAGACTAGTCTCTAGTCGAGGGATAGAATCAATTAAACGCCTTACAAATGTCAGGAGCTGGGCCTGGGAGCCGGGAATGGCTGGCGCTGGCCAGATGGCTGCACGATGGATTTTGGGTTTTTTTGTACGCTGTGGACTGCTCTTGGCTCCTGCTGCAGAAGTAATGCTGATTGACAGGGTTGATATCGGGGGTAGGGTTTGCAGACGCTCCCATCTCACTGGGTCTCTTTGAGTCACAATGACTCTGAGACTGAACAAGCATCTACATATGTGCAAAGGAGACCTGGTTTAGTGACGCCTCCCCCCAGGGCCTTGGTAGCCAGAGGCCCTTGTGCCTTCCAGGCGAGGTCATTGCATCATGCCTGAGCCAACAGAATTAGCAT